CATTATGTGGTAGGGAACCTAAATGCTAAAGTAGGAGAAGAATTTAGAGAGGTGTGGTAGGTAAGTTTGGGGTGTCAGAAAAAGTTTTGGAGTGAGATTAACAAGTTAAGAAAGCCTAGAGAACAAATGGATTTGTCAGTTAAAAATAGGAGAGGAGAGTTATTAAATGGAGAGTTAGAGGTATTGGGAAGATGGAAAGAATATTTTGAGGAATTGTTAAATGTTGATGAAGATAGGGAAGCTGTGATTTCGTGTATAGGGCAAGGAGGAATAACATCTTGTAGGAGTGAGGAAGAGCCAGTTGTGAGTGTGGGGGAAGTTCGTGAGGCAGTAGGTAAAATGAAAGGGGGTAAGGCAGCCGGGATTGATGGGATAAAGATAGAAATGTTAAAAGCAGGTGGGGATATAGTTTTGGAGTGGTTGGTGCAATTATTTAATAATGTATGGAAGAGGGTAAGGTACCTAGGGATTGGCAGAGAGCATGCATAGTTCCTTTGTATAAAGGCAAAGGGGATAAAAGAGAGTGCAAAAATTATAGGGGATAAGTCTGTTGAGTGTACCTGGTAAAGTGTATGGTAGAGTTATAATTGAAAGAATTAAGAGTAAGACGGAGAATAGGATAGCAGATGAACAAGGAGGCTTTAGGAAAGGTAGGGGGTGTGTGGACCAGGTGTTTACAGTGAAAACATATAAGTGACAGTATTTAGATAAGGCTAAAGAGGTCTTTGTGGCATTTATGGATTTGGAAAAGGCGTATGACAGGGTGGATAGGGGGGCAATGTGGCAGATGTTGCAAGTGTATGGTGTAGGAGGTAGGTTACTGAAAGCAGTGAAGAGTTTTTACGAGGATAGTGAGGCTCAAGTTAGAGTATGTAGGAAAGAGGGAAATTTTTTCCCAGTAAAAGTAGGCCTTAGACAAGGATGTGTGATGTCACCGTGGTTGTTTTAATATTTTTATAGATGGGGTTGTAAGAGAAGTAAATGCGAGGGTTTTGGCAAGAGGCGTGGAGTTAAAAGATAAAGAATCACACACAAAGTGGGAGTTGTCACAGCTGCTCTTTGCTGATGACACTGTGCTCTTGGGAGATTCTGAAGAGAAGTTGCAGAGATTGGTGGATGAATTTGGTAGGGTGTGCAAAAGAAGAAAATTAAAGGTGAATACAGGAAAGAGTAAGGTTATGAGGATAACAAAAAGATTAGGTGATGAAAGATTGAATATCAGATTGGAGGGAGAGAGTATGGAGGAGGTGAACGTATTCAGATATTTGGGAGTGGACGTGTCAGCGGATGGGTCTATGAAAGATGAGGTGAATCATAGAATTGATGAGGAAAAAGAGTGAGTGGTGCACTTAGGAGTCTGTGGAAACAAAGAACTTTGTCCTTGGAGGCAAAGAGGGGAATGTATGAGAGTATAGTTTTACCAACGCTCTTATATGGGTGTGAAGCGTGGGTGATGAATGTTGCAGCGAGGAGAAGGCTGGAGGCAGTGGAGATGTCATGTCTGAGGCAATGTGTGGTGTGAATATAATGCAGAGAATTCGTAGTTTGGAAGTTAGGAGGAGGTGCGGGATTACCAAAACTGTTGTCCAGAGGGCTGAGGAAGGGTTGTTGAGGTGGTTCGGACATGTAGAGAGAATGGAGCGAAACAGAATGACTTCAAGAGTGTATCAGTCTGTAGTGGAAGGAAGGCGGGTAGGGGTCGGCCTAGGAAGGGTTGGAGGGAGGGGGTAAAGGAGGTTTTGTGTGCGAGGGGCTTGGACTTCCAGCAGGCATGCGTGAGCGTGTTTGATAGGAGTGAATGGAGACAAATGGTTTTTAATACTTGACGTGCTGTTGGAGTGTGAGCAAAGTAACATTTATGAAGGGATTCAGGGAAACCGGCAGGCCGGACTTGAGTCCTGGAGATGGGAAGTACAGTGCCTGCACTCTGAAGGAGGGGTGTTAATGTTGCAGTTTAAAAACTGTAGTGTAAAGCACCCTTCTGGCAAGACAGTGATGGAGTGAATGATGGTGAAAGTTTTTCTTTTTCGGGCCACCCTGCCTTGGTGGGAATCGGCCGGTGTGATAATAAAAAAAAAAAAACATTATATTTTTTTTATTGACACATCAGCCATTTCCCACCAAGGTAGGGTAACCAGCAAAAGAAAAACTTTCAAAATCATTCACCCCATCACTGTCTTGCCAGAGGCATGCTTACACTACAGTTATAAAACTGCAACATTAACTTTTTTCTTTTTTTTAACAAGTCGACTGTCTCCCACCGAAGCAGGGTGACCCAAAAAGAAAGAAAAAATCCCCAAAAAGAAAATACTTTCACCATCATTCAACACTTTCACCTCACACACACACAATCACTACTTTTGCAGGTGCTCAGAATACAACAGTTTAGAAGAATATACATATATACACAACATATCCCTCCAAACTGCCAATATCCCAAGCCCCTCCTTTAAAGTGCAGGCACTGTACTTCCTATTTCCAAGACTCAAGTCTGGCTATATAAAAATAACCGGCTTCCCTGAATCCCTTCACCAAATATTATCCTGCTCACACTTCAACAGCTCGTCAGGTCCCAAATACTATTCATCTCCATTCACTCCTATCAAACACGCTTGTGCACGCTTGCTATAAGTCCAAGCCCCTCGCCCACAAAAACCTCCTTTACCCTCTCCCTCCAACCTTTTCGAGGACGACCCCTACCCCGCCTTCCTTCCCCTACAGATTTATACGCTTTCCATGTCATTCTACTTTAATCCATTCTCTCTAAATGACCAAACCACCACAACAACCCCTCTTCAGCCCTCTAATACTTTTATTCACTCCACACCTTCTCCTAATTTCCACACTCTGAATTTTCTGCATAATATTTACACCACATATTGCTAAGGCCTTAGACAGGACATCTCCACTGCCTCCAACCATCTCCTCGTTGCAGCATTTACAACCCAAGCTTCACACTATACATTCCCTTCTTTGCCTCCATAGATGTTTTTTGTCTCCACATATACCTCAACGCTCCACTCACCTTTTTTCCTTCATCAATTCTATGATTAGCCTCTTCCTTCATATATCCATCCATCATAATTCCCATTTTGTATTTGATTCCCCATAATTTAATCCCACCCCTCTCCCCATCACCCTAGCATTTACTTCTTTTACAACCCCATCTACATATACATTAAACAACCATGGTGACATTACACATCCCTGTCTAAGACCTACTTTTACCGGGAAGTAGTCTCCCTCTCTTCTACACACCCTAACCTGAGCCTCACTATCCTCATAAAAACTCTTTACAGCATTTAGTAATTTACTACCTATTCCATATACACCTAACATCTGACTTACGACCTGCTCGACTTACGACCACTCGACTTACAACCGTGTTTTTTTTTTTTTTGCCAAATTTCTGGGAAATAAACAACTATTTGCGTTGTACACAGTGTTTATCCTAAACCTTACAGCATAAAATACAGTACTAACAGCATAAAAAGTAAAGTAAAACATGAAATACCCAAATAAAACAATAAAATAAAGCCATTACAAAAATGTGACATTGATATTCAGTAGTAAAGTTTGACTTACGTCCATTTAGACTTACAACCAGTTTCTCGGAAATGAACTCGGTCGTAAGTCAGATGGTAGGTGTACTTGCAACATCTGCCACATTGCTCCCCTATCTACTCTATCATATGCCTTTTCTAAATCCATAAATGCAATGAAAACTTCCCTACCTTCATCTAAATACTGTTCACATATATGCTTCAATGTAAACACTTGATCTACATATCCCCTAACCACTCTAAAACCCTCCTTGCTCTTCTGCAATCCTACATTCTGCCTTACCTCTAATTCATTCAATAATAACCCCACCGTACACTTTTCCTGGTATACTCGGTAAACTAACTCCTCCATAATTTTTACAATCTCTTTTATCCCCCTTCCCTTTATATAAAGGCACTATACATGCTCTCTGTTAATCCCTAGGTACCTTCCCCTCTTTCATACATTTATTAAACAAAAGTACCAACCACTCCAACATTATATCCCCCCTGCTTTTAACTTTTCTGTCATGATCCCATCAGTTCCAGCTGCTTTGCCCCCTTTCATTCTGCGTAATGCCTCACACACCTCCCCCACACTCACATCCTGCTCTTCTTCACTCCTAAAAGATGGTATACCTCCCTAGCCAATGCATGAACTTAAAGTCTTCCTTTCTTCATCGACATTTAAAAGTTCCTCAAAATATTCCCACCGTCAACCAAATACCTCCATCTCCCCATCTACTAACTCCCCGACTCTGTTTTTAACTGACAAATCCATTCGTTCCCTAGGCTTTCTTAACTTGTTTCACTCCAAAATTTTTTCTTATTTTCATTAAAATTTCTTGGCAGTGCCTCTACCTCTCTATCATCTGCTCTCCTTTTGCACTCTCTCACCACTCTCTTCACCTTTCTTTTGCTCTCCATATACTCTGCTCTTCTTATAACACTTCTGCTTTGTAAAAACCTCTCATAAGCTACCTTTTCCTCTTTTATCACACCCTTTACTTCTTCATTCCACCAATCACTCCTCTTTCCTCTTGCACCCACCCTCCTATAACCACAAACTTCTGCCCCATATTCTAATACTGCATTTTTAAAACTATTCCAAACCCTCCTCTTCCCCCCCCCCCTACTACTCATACTTGCACTAGCCCACCTTTCTGCCAATAGTTGCTTATATCTCACCCGAACTTCCTCCTCCCTTAGTTTATCCACTTTCATGTCTCTCTTCCTTCTTGTTGTCATTTTCCTCTTGTCCCATCTACCTCTTACTCTAACTGTAGCTACAACTAAACAATGATCCGATATATCAGTTGCCCCTCTATAAACATGAACATCCTGGAGCCTACCCATCAACCTTTTATCCACCAATACATTAACATATTCCCTAAAATAATATTTGCATAAACAGTACCAAAATGTTTTTACAGGTAATGGGTATCTGTTAACACTGACCGAAGGGCAGGGCGATGATGGCGCTGATAATGCTGAGAGTGGAGTGCAGAAAGGTAGATTCAAAGCTACATAGTGTTCATGACTGCAAACAATTCGTACAAAGTCCAACTGAAAAGAAATAGATTTATAATGTATACTTTTTTTTTTTTTAACACACCAGCCATCTCCCACCGAGGTATATACAGAAAATGAGCAATCACAAATTTACTTTTAGCAAGGGGCTAGTAACCCCTTCTGTATACAATACTAAATTTAAAAAAAAAAAAAACTTGTTTTTCTTTTCAGGTCACTCTGCCTAGGTGGGATATGGCCTTTTGATGAAAAAAAAAAATTATTTTTTTATATCTAACGTAAATAAAAGTGTTCATTAAACTTCACTTCCTTCATATTTCATTAGTGTGTGCACAAAGCATGCACTTTGTATCATCAGTACAACCAAGCAAGACAGTTTCCCCGGACATGTTTATCATTTTCCCCAAAAGTGAGTTGGCAAGTAATGTAGTCACTCCCCTCCCTAAATAAAAGCTTGGATCAAAAGTGATCAACAATACTGCCATAAAGAATTTGATAAGAACAATTCCATAAGACAAATTTTAACTAATGCTAGAGTTCAGGTTATTCCTTGTGGGAAATGCAAAAGTAGACACAGATGATGATGATGTCAAGGAACCTGAGACCTGAGCACAAATATGCTTGCAGAAAGAGCAACTTACATAATGCATGGGTTATTCCCAGAAACAGTTATAATTTTATGATGTGGAGCAATGCCAGGAGGATCATTAACCCTTTCAGGGTTAATGATCAGTATGCCTTCCATTCTACTGACTGTGCACAGGAAACTCATTTAACTATTTCAACTACCCAACAAAGTGACAAGACATCAGAAATTTGGCTAATTTTACACCAAATTAAAAAAATGCCAATTTAAAAATAGGGTCCAGAATAAACAATGTAGACATTCCTTGGCCTCTCCTATATTACACTGCTTTCCATTTTGAATTATTATTCACACATAAAATAGAAGATTTAATGTTCTGCACGCTATTGCATTATTGTAATAATTGTATAAAGAATGTAAGCCCATTTATGAAAATGTATTAGACCAGCCAGCTGGACACATATTAGACGAGTGATGTGATCAGAGTCCTCTGGAATACTGAAAAAAATCGAAGACTTCTGCTACTTTGAGCTCAATTTCAAGCTGCTTCCAGTCCTCAAACCCATCAAAATCATCTCTATTTCTATAATATATCTTCCACTCTATCAAATGATACCAAGAAGCAGAGAATAAAACCATAAAAACTATCTAAAAATACACAGCAAAGTCCCTATTTTAAACCACACACACAGTCAAAGTTTTGATTTTACCATCACATACGCTCTGTAGGGCAGGATTCTTTTTATACGGTGCACACTCACTGCATAAACTCATTCCCTCATATCTAGGCCAAAATTTACAGCTCACAGCTTATCTAAGTGAGCTGAGCTAATGCTGTTGTTCTACAGCACAAACCCTGAGTTCAAAGCCATAATACTATAGCATGGACTGTGAAAGGGTTAATTTTGGGAGTCAAGACAATGAAATGCTTATGAAGAATGAATTGCTGAAGCAATGATACCTAGACTCTACAGTGATTATTACTTCAATTACAGATGTCCAAAACACTTGTAGATTAAACATTTCCAGTGTATTAACAAAACTGATCCTGGATCATCAGGTCACTGCCATCAGGTGACATTATTCGATGCCAGAATACCTCACCTTTACTATCTCTGACACTGTTCTACTATATATTCCTCTGTATTCTGTCTCTGTACTGGATTGATACAGCCCTCGTTGGGCAAAACTTATCTTCATAAAAGTATCATAACTTAGCACATAGGTCCATATGCATCCATTAATCCACTAACATGACTCTTTAAAGTGGGATGTTTGAATGTGCGTGGATGTAGTGCGAATGATAAGAAACAGATGATTGTGGATGTTATGAATGAGAAGAAGCTGGATGTCCTGGCTCTAAGTGAAACAAAGGTGAAGGGAGTAGGAGAGTTTCAGAGGGAAGAAATAAATGGGATTAGGGCAGGGTTTCTAATAGAGTTAGAGCTAAGGAAGGAGTAGCAATAATGTTGAAGGACAAGCTATGGCAGGAAAAGGAGGAACATAAATGTATAAATTCAAGGATTATGTGGAGTACAGTAAGGGTTGGATGTGAAAACTGGGTTATAGTATGTGTTTATACATCTTGAGAAGAGAGAAGTGTAGAGAGACAGACAGAGAGAGATTCTGGGAAGTGTTGAGTGAGTGCATGGGGAGTTTTGAACCAAATGAGAGAGTACCTGTGGTTGGGAATTTCAATGCTAAAGTAGGTAAAAATGTTGTAAATGGAGTAGTAGGTATATCTGGGGTGCCAGGGGTCAATGAAAATGGGGAGCCATTAATTAAACTACGTGCAGAAAGAGGTTTGGTAATAAGTAACACACATTTTTATGAACTGAAAAAGAGGATAAGTAAGTATACAAGATATGATACAGCACGTAATGAAAGTAGTTAGTTAGATTATGTATTGGTGGATAAAAGGTTGATGGGTAGGCTTCAGGATGTACATGTTTATAGAGAGGCAACTGATATATTGGATCATTTCTAGTTGTAACTACAGTTAGAGTAAGAGGTAGATGGGACAAAAGGAAAATGGCAACATCAAGTAAGAGAGATGTGAAAGTATATAAACTAAGGGAGGAGGAAGTCAGGGTGAGATATAAGCAACTACTGCCAGAAAGGTGGGGTAGTGCAAGTATGGGTAGTGAGGGGGTTGAAGAGGAATGGGATAATTTTAAAAATGCAGTACTAGAATGTGGGGCAGAAGTTTGTGGCTATAGGAGGGTGGGTGCAAGAGGAAACAAGAGTGATCGTTGGAATGATAAGGTAGAGGGTGTGATAAAAGAGAAAAAGGTAGCCTATGAGAGGCTTTTACAAAGCAGAAGTGATATAAGAAGGGCAGAGTATAGTGAGAGTAAAAGAAAGGTGAAGAGAGTGGTGAGAGAGTGCAAAGGAGAGCAAATGATAAGAGTCGAGAGGCACTGTCAAGAAATTTTCTTGAGAATACGAAAAAAATCTGGAGATATACAAGTTAAGAAAGCCTAGGGAACAAATGGATTTGTCAGTTAAAAACAGAGTATTGGAGTTGGGGACTTAGTAGATGGTGAGCTGGAGGTATTGGTTAGACAGTGGGAATATTTTTAGGAACTTAAATGTCGATGAAGAAAGGGAGGCAGTAATTTCATGCACTGCCCAGGGAGTTATAACATCTTTTAAGAGTGAAGAAGAGCAGGATGTGAGTGTGGGGGAGGTGCATGAGGAACTACTTAGAATGAAAGGGTGTAAAGCAGCTTAAACTGATGGGATCATGGCAGAAATATTAAAAGCAGGGGAAGATATAGTGTTGGAGTGGTTGGTATTTTTGTTTAATAAATGTTGAAGGATAAGCTATAGCAGGAAAAGAGGGACTATAAATGTATTAATTCAAGGATTATGTGGAGTAAAATAAAGGTTGGATGAGAAGTGGGTTTTAGTAAGTGTATATGCACCTTTAGAAGAGAGAAGTGTAGAGGAGAGAGAGAGTGAGAGATTTTGGGAAACGTTGAGTGAATGCATGGGGAGTTTTGAACCAAGTGTGACAGTACTTGTGGTTGGGGATTTCAATGCTAAAGTGGGTAAAAATGTTATGGAGGGAGTAGTAGGTAAATTCGGGGTGCCAGGGGTAAACGAAAATGGGGAGCCTTTAATTGAGCTATGTGTAGAAAGAGGTTTCGTAATAAGTAATGCATATTTCACAAAAAAGAGGATAAATAAATATACAAGGTATGATATAGCAAGTAATGAAAGTAGTTTGTTAGATTATGTATTGGTGGATAAAAGGTTGATGGGTAGGCTCCAGGATGTACGCGTTTAAAGAGGGGCAATTGATATATCGGATCATTATTTAGTTGTAGTTACAGTTAGAGTAAGAGGTAGATGGGACAAGAGGAAAATGGCAACAACAAGTAAGAGGGAGATGAAAGTGCATAAACTAAGGGAGGAGGAAGTTCAGGTGAGAAATAAGCAACTATTGGCAGAGAGGTGGGCTGGTGCAAGTATGAGCAGTGGGGGGGGGGTTGAAGAGGTTTGGAATAGTTTTAAAAATGCAGTATTAGAATGTGGGGCAGAATTTTATGGTTATAGGAGGGTGGGTGCAGGAGGAAAGAGGAGTGATTGGTGGAATGATGAAGTAAAGGGTGTGATAAAAGAGAAAAAGGTAGCTTATGAGAGATTTTTACAAAGCAGAAGTGTTATAAGAAGAGTAGAGTATATGGAGAGTAAAAGAAAGGTGAAGAGATTGGTGAGAGAGTGCAAAAGGAGAGCAGATGATAAACTGGGAGAGGCACTGTCAAGAAATTTTAATGAAAATAAGAAAAAATTTTGGAGTTAAACAAGTTAAGAAACCCTAGGGAACGAATGGATTTGTCAGTTAAAAACAGAGTAGGGGAGTTAGTAGATGGGAAGATGGAGGTATTGGGAAGATGGCGAGAATATTTTGAGGAACTTTTAAATCTCTACGAAGAAAGGGAGGCAGTAATTTCATGCACTGGCCAGGGAGGTATACCATCTTTTAGGAGTAAAGAAGAGCAGGATGTGAGTGTGGGGGCGGTACACGAGGCATTACATAGAATGAAAGGGGGTGAAGCAGCTGGAACTAACAGGATCATGACAGAAATGTTAAAAGCAGGAAGAAAGATAGTGTTAGAGTGGATGGTCTTTTTATTTAATAAATGTATGAAAAAGAGGAAGGTATCTAGGGATTGGCAGAGAGAGGATGTGTAAACCATACCACGGGCGGGATTTGAACCCGCGGTCACAGAGTCTCAAAACTCCAGACCGTCGCGTTAGGTCCAGTGGCTAACGTCACGGTCTGGAGTTTTGAGACCGGTCCAGTGGCTAACGCGACGGTCTGGAGTTTTGAGACTCTCTGATTGCGGGTTCAAATCCCGCCTGTGGTATGGTTTGTTTGCAATCGTGTCATTACGATTTTGTGAGTCAGGGGATGTGTAGATCAAGTGTTTACATTGAAGCA